ACTCTTCTTGCCTAAATGAATGAGTCTTCCTTGATGGTAAGAATCAAATTGGCAAAGCCCTTGGGGAGGACCTCTTCTCCAGTCCAGGCTCACATCAGAACCCCAGGCGGATCGAGAATGCGGCAACCTGAGAGCAGCTGCCAGAAAGGAGAGGAGGAGACCATTGTGGGAAAAAGGGAAGGGAAAGTTTCATTCATTTGACACCCATTATTAGGTTGATTGTTGCTGAAAAACAGCAAGTATTAATGTGGGGAAGCGGTAGAGTTGGCAATATATTTGCAAGCTAAGAAAGGGGTTATTGTTGTTGTCATTGTTGTGTGCCATTGAGTCAATTCCAACACATAGTGTTATGGATTGACTTATGTCCCCCAAAAATGTGTGTCAACTTGGCTAGGTCATGAATCCCAGTATTGTGTGATTGTTCACCATTTTGTCATCTGATGTGATTTTCCTATGTGTTGTAAATCCTACCTCTATGATGCTAATGAGGCATTAAAGGAAGTTACGTTAATGAGGCAGGACTCAATCTACAAGATGAGGTTGTGTCTTAAGTCAATCTCTTTTGAGATATAAAAGAGAGAAGCAAGCAGAGAGACATGGGGACTTCACACCACCAAGAAACAAGAGCCAGGAGAATAGCTCGTCCTTTGGACCTGGGGTCCCTATGCTGAGAAGCTCCTTGACCAGGGAAGATTGATGACAAGGACCTTCCCCTAGAGCCCCCATAGGCAAAAAAGCCTTCCTCTGGGGCTGGCACCCTGAATTCAGACTTCTAGCCCCCTAGACTGTGAGAGAATAAGTTTCTCCTTGTTAAAGCCATCCGCTTGTGGTATTTCTGTTATAGCAGCACTAGATGACTAAGACACATAGCGACCCCATATGACAGAGTAGAATTGTCCCATAGGGTTTCCCAGGCTGTAATCTTTACGGTAGCAGATCACCAGGTCTTTTCTCCTGTGGAGTCATTTTCACTAAGAATGCCTACAAAAAACAGGAGGGGGATGGAGTGTTCAGTCTAGTCTCAGCATTCATGGGGTTGCAGGGGTGGTGGGGTGGTCGTGGTGGTGGTATGGGAGATAGCGTAGGTGAGTGGTTCTCAAATTGTGGCCCCCAACCAGCAGCATCAGCATCACATGGGAAACTGTTAGAAATGCAAATCCTCGGGCATGGGGCTACACCCCAGACCTCTCGAATCAGAAACTCTGTAGATAGAACGCAGCAATTCGTGTTTAACAAGCCCTCGACGTGATTCTGATGCAAGCTAGAATTTGAGAGGCGTAGTGGTTAAGAGCTACAGCTGCTAACCAAAAAGTCGCAGTTCGAATGTAGCAGGTGCTCCTTGGAAACCTTATAGGGCAGTTCTACTCTGTCCTATAGGGTCACTATGAGTAGGAATTGACTTGATGGCAATGGGTTTGGAGCCCTTAGGAGCCCTGGTGGCACAACGGTTACAAGCTCGGCTGCTAACTAAAAGGCTGGCAGTTTGAATCCACCAGCTGCTTCTTGGAAACCCTATGGGACAGTTCTACTCTGTCCTATAGGGTCGCTATGATCAGAATCGACTCAATGGCAGCAGATTTGGTTTGGTTTGGGTTGGAGCCCTTAAGCTTGCAGGCGCTGAAGCCAGACGGCATAGATTCAAATCCTAACTCTCATTTTCTATCTGTGTTAAATACGCAAGTTAGCCTCTCTGTGCCTCAGTTTGCACAGCTGTAAAATGGGGATAATAACAGAAGTTTTTGTGAGGATTTATTCATGCAAAGTGCTTAGAATGGTAAGCATAGAAAAATGTTCACTACTAATATTATTTCAATCTTGCCCTCATGTCTCTGTGACTGAGTGTATAACTGTGGGCAGATCAAGGGCCCAAATCAGAGGCACTCAGCAGAGGTGAAGGCTAGGCCTGAGGCTCCTGTGGGCCCAACATCCCCATTCCCCCGTTCCCCAGTCTGGCAGCATCCCTACAAGGCCAACAAAGGGCCTTGTAAATACTCACAGCACACCTCTGCTCCTTTCAAGGCACTCTCATCCCCAGAGGGGAGACAGGCACATTTGGCTGGGAGGAGATCAAATGCATGGTACCTGGCACAACAATAGGAAAAAGAAGTGGTAAAGAGTAAGCATTGGCCTTCTTAGACTGCCGCCAACACAGCCAAGTCATTTATTAGTAAAAAGATGCCCACATCAGATAGCTAGACATAATCCTCCTGTTGCCTCCAGGTCAAGCAAAATAAATCCAGGGTACTGGGAATGGGAGAAAGGAGGGAGCAAACTTCCATTCAATTAATCTGGCTTATCAAACACGATTTATTTGTCCTGTGTAGGCTCACAGCTGTGTGACCCTTTGGCCTTTTGGGTGGAGGTTTAATTCATCATTGGCTTTCCTGGTTCAAAGAACTATGTAAGAGTTCTTAGCAGAGCCTGCCTTTTAAAAAGATGTCTCTTTTGTTAAATGGGCTGCACATCAGAGCCAATTTAGTGCAGCGGAAAGGGAAAAAGCTGGTATTCAACAACACCTGGGTTTCTTGTGTGACTGAGAAATATTCCATCCCTTGCACCTGATCATGTAAGCATCATGTGAACACAATTTTAAATAAGGAGCCAGTTCTTCCCATTACTTTCTCTTGCACTAGGAAGTCTCAGTATGGGGCTGTTGTTGTTAGGTACATTGCCTAAACACTGCCTGGTCCTGCACCATCCTCACAATTGTTACTATGTTTGAGCCCATTGTTGCAGCCAGTGTGCCAATCCGTCTCGTTGAGGGTCTTCCTCTTTCTCGATGACCCTCTACCTTACCAAGCATGATGTCCTTCTCCAGGGACTGGACCCTCCTGATCACATGTCCAAAGTATGTGAGACAATGTCTCCCCATCCTCGCTTCCAAGGAGCACTCTGGCTGTACTTCTTCCAAGACAGAGTGGTTTGTTCTTCTGGTCGTCCCTGGTATAGTCAATGTTTTTCACCAACAGCACCATTCAAAGGCGTCAATTCTTCCTCGGTCTTCCTTATTCATTGTCCAACTTTTGCATGCATATGAGGCAAGTTGAAAATACCATAGCTTAAGTCAGGAGCACCTTAGTCCTCAAAGTAACATCTTTGCTTTTTAACACTTTAAAGCAGTCTTTTGCAGCAGATTTGCCCAATGCAATACGTAGTTTGATTTCTTGACTGCTGCTTACATGGGTGTTAATTGTGGATCCAAATATAATGAAATCCTTGACAACTTCAATCTTTTCTCCATTTATCGTGACGTGGCTTATTGGTCCAGTTGTGAGGATTTTTGTTTTCCTTATGTTAAGGTGTAATCCCTACTGAAGGCTGTGGTCTTTGATCTTTATCAGTAAGTGCTTTAAGTCCTCTTCACTTACAGCAAGCAAGGTTGTGTCATCTGCATAATACAGGTTGCTAACGGGTCTTCCTCCAATCCTGATGCAGTGTTCTTCATATACTCCAGCTTCTAGAGTTATTTGTTCAGCATACAGATTGAATAAGTATGGTGAAAGGATACAACCCTGATGCACACCTTTCCTGATTTTAAACCATGCAGTATCCCCTTGTTCTGTTTGAACGACTGCCTCTTTGTCTATGTACAAGTTCCACGTGAGTACAATTAAGTGTTCTGGAATTCCCATTCTTCACAATGTTCATAATTAGTTATGATCCACACAGTCAAATGCCTTTGCATAGTCAATAAAACACAGGTAAACATCTTTCTGGTATTCTCTGCTTTCAGCCAAGATCCATCTGACATCAGCAATGATATCCCTCATTCCACATCCTCTTCTGAATCCGGCTTGAAGTTCTAGCAGTGCCCTATCAATGTACTGCTGTAACTGTTTTTGAATTATTTCCAGCATGATGTTCCTGGCATGTGATATTAATGATATTGTTTGATAATTTCCACATTCTGTTGGATCATCTTTCTTTGGAATGGGCACGTTTATGGATCTCTTGCAGTCAATTGGCCAGGATTGCTGTCTTCCAAATTTCTTGCCATAGACGAGTGAGCTTCCAGCGCTGCATCCTTTTGTTGAAACATCTCAATTGGTATTCTGTCAATTCATAGAGCCTTGGTTTTCCTCCAGTGTCTGCAGTGCAACTTGGACTTCTTCCTTCACTACTATTGGCTCTTGATCATAAGCTACCTCCTGAAATGGCTGAACGTCAACCAATTCTTTTTGGTACAGTGACTCTGTATATTCCTTCCATCTTCTTTTGACGCTTCCTGCGTCATTCAATGTTTTGCCCATAGAATCCTTCAATATGCAACTTGAGCTTGAATTTTTTCTTCAGTTCTTTCAGCTTGAGAAATTCTAGAGATGTTCTTCCCTTTCGGTTTTCTAACTCCAGGTCTTTACGTATTTCATTATGATACTTTTTCTCCTTGAGCCACCCTTTGAAATCTGTTCAGCTCTTTTACTTCATTTCTTCCATTTGCTTTAGCTACTCCACATTCAAGAGCAAATTTCAGAGTCTCTTCTGACATCCATTTTGGTGCCAGCCTAACTTTAACATCTCTCTCATGATGGCTAATCTCCCTTTTTAGCGGCAACAGTATCCAGCTGGAATTAATAATATTGTTTTGTTTTCATTGTATTTATTTTTATAGTTCCCATCTATAAACAAGTGATATCGGTATTCTATTTGCAGGGCAAAAGTGATATCAGATTTCTCTTTAAAGATTTGAAGAGAAATATTAAGTAATAGTACAGCCGGTGCTGAGTGATTTAAATGTGCCAAACAGCGGGACACACAGAAAGTCCGTCCCAATCCGACCAGCCTCCGGATCTGGCTTCCACATTTTCTCCGTCTCCCCACCCCTCCCAGGAGCTAGGAGGCATAGTTCACCACAAGCCCCGCCCCAGCCGGCCTTACGGCCGACAGACCCGCCCCGAAGGGCCCGGACCTCCCCAAGCCCTGCCCTCGCGCGTTCGGGTCCCGCCTCGACCCCGCCCCCTGGCCTTCTCCTTCTCGGCCGCCGTTGCGCGGCATTCAGTGGCAGCAAGATGGCGGCGCAGCAGCAAGCTGTTGAGGGGGACGCGCAATTGGCGGGGCCCGCGGCGGCGGCGGAAGTCGACCCTCTGGGCCGCTTTACGTGTCCTGTGTGCTTGGAGGTGTACGAGAAGCCGGTGCAGGTTCCCTGCGGACACGTGTAAGCGGCGGGCCCGGGCCTGGTCGTGGGACCCCTGACTAGGTGGGGGATGAAGGCGAGGGGCGAGGCCCCGACGGGAAGCGTCTCGGGGCGAGAGCACTGGCTAGAGAGGCTTCTCCCCGGGGACCTCCGGGGCCCCTACAACGCCTGCGGAAGTTGCGGGGCGCTGTTCTTCCCCTGCTCACCTCCAGGTATCCAGCCCCACTGCCCGCCTTAGTAGGACAGCAGCTGCTGTCTCTTGAGCGCCTACTGGGTTCCAGGCGGCCTCTCAGGCTCCTTCCCTCACATGATAGTGGATTCGCATCCTGTTAGGGGCTAGGTAGGCTCTAAAGTCCTTTCTCGGAGTACCAAAGTTTCTCTTGAATATTCCATATACATCGCCTCTAGACTACATAGAGTACGTTTGGCGTTGCGCATCTAACTCTGCCAAGTATTTCTACTGTGCACTAAAGTTGGAGAAATGCTGAGCTAGACAGAAGAGCAAAAGGGAAGTCTTTATGCAAATCTGGCCAGTCTGCCCGTGCTGTGAAAGAGGACTGCGGGAAGCAGATAGGGCTTGTTATTATTTCTCCTTAATTGTGTGTGTGTTTGGGGGGGGTTTCGTTCTATTTTAAGCCTCCATAACCTGGATACTGTTAATCGACTGGTTATGATGATTCAAAGAGATAATATGTGAAAATATCCAATACAGGTCCGGGGCTGTGGTAGGTGCTTTGAGGTTAGGTGGATTTGACTCCAAGCCTTGCTCCATCAGACACACAAACACACCTAAACTGATAGAATTGTAGAAAACGAGGCCACCTGTTTCTTGCCACTCAGAGTTGACATCTCCTCCGTGGCTTCCCTCAGTGTTGATCATGGCCATCACCTCGGCATTGGTCTTGGGACCCTTTTACTGGTCACTGGACGCAGAAGACACCTGCTGGGCCTCAAGGGCAATCTTATTTGTAAGCAATTCTTCAAGGGAAGAGTTGGCAGCCACTTTCCAGGTGACAGGACTGAGCCTCACTTAGGTCAGGCTTACCATTGCCTAACTCTGTACAGCTGGACTGTAATTGTCTGTTTTGCCAGCTTAGAGAACAGTGCTTAGCATCTGGCGAGGGCTCCCCCAGCCACACTGACTGTTTTTCACTTCTTCAAGTACGCTAAACTCTGCCGCCTCGGGCTGTAACTGGTTGCATAACAGTTTGTCTGGAACTCTTCTGCCCCATCCATTACCTCTCTCTGCCACTACCCCATATCCTTCTCTGCCTTGAAGCGTCATTTTAATCACCTGTGCCTGATCACCAACCCCATCTAAATTAACACCTTCTTTTCTTCTGGAACTTTATTTCTCTTTCCTTGCACAGAGCAAAACTGAGGGATCATGAGAGCAGTGACCGTATCTGTTTTGGCCCTCACTGTATCCCCAGAGTCTGAGCATCTGTCTGCCAATCTTACATTCAACTGACTGGAACATTTGTATGCCCACTATGAGGAGCATAGTAAGAAACAGATGATTCTGCCCTCAGAGTTCACAGTCCAGTGAATTGATCCTAAATAAGTACTAACAAATGTTCACACTGTTGTAAAAATCAGTTGTGCAATGGGAGGATATTCTAGAGACTAAACCTTTAGGGCGTGGGGAGGTGATCAGGGAAAGAACAAACTAAGAAATTAGTGGTGGAAGTAAGCTTCATGAGTGTTAAAGTGGGGTCTGGGTAGCTTTCTCAATGAGTCTTCTTATTCTTGGATCAGCCCTCCTTATTCTCAGGTTTATCTCCTGTGGGATTAATTCAGTGGATTTCATTTATTGTTAACATCTGTGAAGAGGTGTGACCCAGCACAGTTCACCAACTGAAGAGCAGCAAAATTTGAGGTTTCCTTGAGCCAGTGAACCTTTCCTAGGTCAGAGGGCAAGGGGCAGTACTGGGATTCAAAACCTGGCTCTTGTATACTTGGCGTCCTAGCTCCATGTGCTCAGCGCTGATTGAAGATAGATGGAAGAACCTGTGTGAGAGTAGCAGTGGTCTCCCTCAGTTCCAGCCAGTGCTGCTTTCTCCTCTTCCTGGTTGATTTTTGTTAAGTTTGTGCTGGGAAACTTGATCATGGTTGCAGCTGTGGCTGGAGCATTGGATTTTTATAAAACTTTATTTCAAGCCCTGAATGACTGCATTTTTCTCCAGCTTAGTGAAATGCAGCTAGTGAAGGGCAGGTGAGCTGGGTGCCCAAGAGAAGAGGATTTTCTGAATAGCACTGTGACAGAAATGGTGGCCTGTCTGGAAGGCTGAACTAGAAGAAGGCCTGTGAATAGGAAATGGAAACGGAAAGCCAGCTGAAGGTGCAAGGACAGTTTACAGACATGTTATTGGGCATGACTTAGGCACAGAGTGGCTCAGGAACTTTTCAACAGTGTGTGCTAGAGGGGGAACTTGGAACTGCTTTGTTAGCTACATGCTGGGTTTGGTTTCCTTGTGCTCTCTTGGATTACTCTCCTGATCTGCCTTTGAGACAAGGCACAACACATGATAGCTACAAGGTCCTGCCTAACGATCCCACTTCATCACTTACCTTCTCCCCATGGTCTACCACGTCCCAGCCCCAGAGGCCTTCCTGCCTGCCTTTTGGACACCCCTTTGTGTTGGGTGTCATCTCTGGAAGTCTTTGTGTCCAGATCTGTGTGGCTCTCTCATAACTTCAGGTCTCAGTTCAGATGTCACCTAAAGAGGTTTTCAATGCTCACCCCAGCTAATCTCTTTGCCTTGTTTTATACCCTTCATTTACTTACTCAGTATCTATAATTAACATTTATATTTTTCTCCACTCTTATACTCCTGCCAAGAGTATAAGCATCATGAGGACAGGGACTTTGTCTAGTTCACCAGCGTGCCCTCAGTGGTGAATGAATAGACTCCCTTACCAGCTCCCATCCAGGTTGAGAATTTTGCCTAGCAGCATTAACATCTAGCTTAATGACAAAGTGGAAGAAAATTCTTAGAGATGGTAAAAATTAGTGAGGCATGCAGAAGATTACCTTTGGTATATATTCTGAGTTCTTTCCAGCAGATTCTGCTATCCTGTCATAAATCTATCATGTTGAATAAGTTGGCTAAGCAGCCAGGGTGTTTCCATGCCTTAGTATACATTCTTTCTGCATACCTTCTCAGTATCGCCACCTGCCTGGGCACTCAGGGTAGAGAGTCAGTCATCTCTGACTGTCTTAGTTATCTAGTGTTGCTATAGCAGAAATACCACAAGTAGTTGGCTTTAACAAAGAGAGACTTATTCTCTCATAGTCTAGGAGGCTAGAAGTCTGAATTCAGGGTGTCGGCTCTGGTTCCAGGGGAATGCTTTCTCTCTCTGTCGGCTCTGGAGGAAGGTCCTTGTCATCAATTTTCCCCATTCGAGGAGCTTCTCAGCACAGGGACCCCAGGTCCAAAGGATGCGCTATTCTTCTGGCTCTTGTTTCTTGGTGGTATAAGGTCTCCATGTCTCTGTTTGCTTCTTTCTTTTTTTTTTTTTATATTTCATTGTACTTCAGGTGAAGGCTTACAGAACAAATAGTTTCTCATGAAACAGTAGTACACATGTTGTTTTATGACATTGGTTAACAACCCCCCAACATATTAACCCTTAAACTTCTCAACCTTTTTTTTTTCGGTGAAAATACACATAGCCAAAGATACACCATTTCAAAATTTCTACATGCACAGTTCAGTGACATTGACTTCGCTCTTCGAATTGTGCTGTTATTCTCACCTAAGATGAAGGCTTACAGAACAAAATAGTTTCTCATTTAACAGTTACTACAAATGTTGCCCTATGACAATGGTTAACAATCTCACAACACATCAACAATATCCTTACTCAACCTTGGGTTCCCTATCACCAGCTTCCTTGTCCCCTTCTGCCATCTGGCCCTTGTCACTGGACTCCTGTACCTCGTTAGTCTCATCTGGTTTTACGGGGCTGTCCACTCCCAGGCTGAACAGTGAACCTCGGAGGTAGCTTCACCACTGTTGCTTCTTTCTTTTATATCTCAAAAGAGATTGGCTGAAGACAGAATCTAGTCTTGTAGATTGAGTCCTGCCTCATTAACATAACTGCCAGTAATCCAATCTTATCAATATCATAGAGATAGGATTTACAACACATAGAAAAACCACATCAGATGACAAAATGGTAGACAATCACACAGTACTGGGAATCATGGCCTAGCCAAATTGATACACATATTTTTGGAGGACACAGTTCAATCCATGACACTGACTTCCCCTGACTTTCCGTCTTTCCTTTTCCAATTCAGTAAGTTGCCAGATCTTTCCTTCTCCAAATTCAGTGAGTTGCCAGGTCCTCATGATTATGCCTCTGAATCATTTCTTGAATTCATTATCTGTTGCCTCCGTCAAGCCCTCATGGTCCCTTGCCTTTAGCCATCTGTTTGGTTTCTACCTGAAGCCTCTTCTTATCTCCCATCACCTAAAAAGAAACAAACAAAACCATGTTGTCCGTGATACCACCAGAGTCATTTTTCTAAAACTTGGATTTGCTCTTGTTGATACTAGCTTTAAACCTCTGGCTCCCTACTGCTTATGAGGAAAAGTCTGTTAGATTTTTATTTCCTTAGATGTTTTGTGAGTGTTTAAGCCTGAGGGCCTGGAATATTCTTCCCTTCCTCTACCAGCTGAACTCTTCCTTTTTAAGGCTGATCGTGGATGCTGGCTCTGAACTCTGATCAGCTCTGACCTTCTCCAGTCACAACTGGTTACTCTTGCCTTTGTGTTCTCATAGCACTTTGCATTCACCTCTGAGGATAGCAGCACCTATTTACTGTGCATTTCATATGTGCTAGACACTATACTGTCTCCTATACATCCAACAAATCCTAGAGGTAGGTACTGCCATATCCATTTCATAGAGGAGAAAACAGAGTTTCAGGGAACCCTGCCAAGATCCCTCAGTGATAGGGACTAAGGTTTGAAATTTCACTGTTACCTCAAGACCCAAACTAAACCAAACCCGTTGCTGTTGAGTCAATTCCAACTCATAGTGACCCTGTAGAATAGAGTAGAACTGCCCCATAGGGTTTCCAAGGCTGTAATCTTTATGAGAGCAGACTGCCACATCTTTCTGCCATGGAGTAGCTTGTGGGTTCAAACTGCCAGCCTTCTGGTTAGCAGCCAAGTGGCTAACCACTGCACCACCAGGGCTCCTTGTGTTATCTCAACCATAATTCAGATGCATCATTATTATGGTTGAGGTAACACAATAAAATTTCAGCCTTAGTCCCTACCACTGAGGGATCCTGGTAAGGTTCCCTGAAACTATTTTCTTCTCTGTGAAATGGACATAGTAGTACCTATCTTTAGGATTTTCTGGGAGAATATATAGCAGACATTTGAATTGTGGTGTTGATAAAGAATATTGAATATACCAGGGACTGCCAGAAGAACGAACAAATCTGTCTTGGAAGAAGTACAGCCAGGATGCTCCTTAGAAATGAGGATGGTGAGACATTGTCTCATGTACTTTGGACATGTTATCAGGAGGGACCAGTCCCTGGAGAAGGACATCATGCTTGGTAAAGTAGAGGGTCAGTGGAAAAGAAGACCCTCAACGAGATGGATTGACAGCAGCGGCTGCAACAGTGGGCGCAAACATAGCAACGATCGTGAGGATGACGCAGGACTGGGCAGTTTTGTTGTACATAGGGTCACTGTGGGTCAGAACTGACTCGGTGGCGCCTACCACCGCCAACAACCTCAACCATAACGCTTTCACCATGTATCACCATAATGTGTGTTTGTTTCTGTTGCTGGACTTGTGTGATCTTTGCAGTCTCCCCTCTCCCAATTTCTGACTTAGGAGTGCTCAGTATTCAAATCGAGAGTAGGGAGCAAGTTGTTTGTAATCTGTTATTCATTGATATCTTCTTAAAAGTTTATCCATTTTTGTTGTCTTGTCTCCACGATGCATGACGGCAGTTCTCTGTATGTCTTGTTCTAGCTTTTGCTCTGCATGCCTGCAGGAATGTCTGAAGCCGAAGAAACCTGTCTGTGGGGTATGTCGCAGCGCTCTGGCCCCTGGCGTCCGAGCCGTGGAGCTCGAGCGGCAGATTGAGAGCACAGAGACATCTTGCCATGGCTGCTGTAAAAATGTATGTGGAAGTAAGATGGAAGCGTCAGTGTTTTTCTGTGATGAGATTGGGTAAACACTGAGCTGTTATGGGGTAAATGTGGCACCATTTCTGAAGCTAGAGCATGAATAGGTGACTGAACGGCACCCGTGCATGGCTGATTATCTGTGGTGATGGCTGTGCCATTTCATTTTGAGACTTTTCCTGGTTTTATAATCATTACAGTGTTGTTAATTTCATGTAATGCAAAGTTATAAAATAACGTATGCTTGTTCCCCACTCCACTTTTCCACTTTAAAAATAGTTCAGTTTAGAAGCCTGCCTAACATTTTCTGTTTTTGACAAATACAAATATAGAGTTTTTGCAAACACAAATGTAGGATTTGTACAAAATTGGATCATACTATAATATGTACTGCCACAGCTTGATTTTTTTCATTTAATGACTTACTGGATAGCCTTGCATGTCAGTTTCATTACTTTTATTGCTTGTTTCCTCCCATAGTATGGATATACCTTAATAGCGCCTTTCTTTCAGCATGGCTTAGCACTGGGTGTGCACAGTGGGTGATTACAGTTCTGAATAGGGCTATTTCCCAGCCCTGTTAGTTGGGAGCTCCTTGGTTGGCAGCTTAAAGTCATCAAGTTCTTTAGATGGAGGTAAGACAGGAAGAATCATGATAAGCCAGAGCTCAAATAGTAGAGCTTTTTTTTTTTTTTTTTCCTGGTGGTTTCCTTTTTAATTTAGAAACTGAAGATATTGAAATAAAGTTTCCTATTACTTATATCTTTCTTCATGCATGCTAAAAAGGTAGGGCTTTTTTTTGGTATGCTTTTGATTTTCTTTTTAAAAAGATTAGTAAATTGTTTTGTGGGTATACCTCCAAAAATGTTTTTCTGCCCCCCGATTCTCCTCTTTCTTCTTTCCTTACACTTTTCTTTCTTTTTAGAATGCCTGTAATAAAAGTAGTCTCATCTGGGTTTGATTCTCTGTTTCCAACTTATTGTTGCAAAGCCTAGATTTTACAGGGAAGGTAGAATTCAGATTTGGGTTTTTTTTTTAAAAGATTGTCTATCACAATTTGGCAATTAATACCTTAGCTGGGCTTAGTACTAGCTTTTATCCCTTTTGCTTAAATGATTACTTTTCTCTGCTGCACAGATGTGCAAGAATGTGGTTCTTGGCTTCCTGTAAGGAGACTAGTTTAAATGCTAGTGTAGAAAACTTAAACTTCACTGGATTTGGAATGTGTCTGTGAGCAGAGAGCATATCATGAACAAAGCAAGTCTCTAGGAGAGTTACTTTATTTTAGAGTGGAAAAAGATGTCCTGATCTGGTTGAGTAAAATATCAGCCCTGGTAGTTAATAGAAATTCTGTAACTAACACTCAGGGTTTCAGCCCCATCAGCACAGCCAGGGGTCTGGTGAGATGGTTTGCCAGGGTGGCATAGGCCTAGTTTTCATCTTGCCCTTGCTTTGAGGCTATGTTGGACCTGGTACAAGATCCTAACTAACTTGTAGCATCTGATTCCTTAGTTCTTCCTATCCAAGATCCGGGCCCACGTGGCTACCTGTTCCAAATACCAGAATTACATCATGGAAGGTGTGAAAGCCACCACTAAGGATGCATCTCTTCAGCCAAGGTATGAGACTCACTCATTCCCTTAGGTGGACGTCTTCCTTTGCTGCAAAGACCTTGGACACTTTGCATGTTCAGGGGTTTACATAGATGTGTGAGTTTGGGAAAGTAGTGAAGGTATAATTGTCATGCTGACTATAGCTGATCGAAGTTGTGTTTTTAAGTCGGGGGGCTGTCTCTACATTGTTTACTTCAAATGTTAGCTGTGCCATTAAGTTATGTTCAAAACACTTGATCTGATTGTGACATGGTAAACAGAATCCTTGTCATGGTACATTCAGTGAGTTTTGCCCCATTTTGACGTGTACAATGGTTGAAGTTATGTGGAAAGGTACTCATGGAAGTTTTTTTCTTTTTTCCTGCCTTTCATCTTCTAGGAATATCCCAAACCGTTATACTTTTCCTTGCCCTTATTGTCCTGAGAAGAACTTTGATCAGGAAGGACTTGTGGAACACTGCAGATTATTCCATAGCACAGATACCAAGTCTGTGGTAAGAGTAACTTTCTTTTTTTTAACTTTGTATTATGAAAAAAGTCCAGCTTAAAGAAAAATGGCAAGATTAGTACAGTGATCTTCTATACGCCTATATACCCTTCACCTAGGTTTACAAATTAGACAGTCACAAAGAATTGATTATTTTCACTCAGAAATAATTAAATCGGCCTCGTCATTTGACAGCAATGGTCCTCCATCTAGTACATCTTTATTGCATGGATAACTGAAACTTCTGTGAGCAGATGCCAACCTGGAATTGGTCTCTGAGGGCTGCTGTAACAAAGTACCACAAATTGGGTGGCTTAGAAGAACAGAATTTTACTATCTCAGAGTTCTGGAGGCTGGGTGTCCGAGATCAGGGTGTTGGTGTTGATTGCTTCTGAGCCTTTGAGGGAGAATCCGTTCCATGCCTCTCTCCCAGCTTCTGGTAGCTCCAGGCGTGTTTTGCCTTGCAGCTGCAGCATCACCTGCTGTCCGTCCTTCGTTTGTCTCCCTGTCTCTCTGTATCCTCTCCTCTTCTGTGAGGACCAGTCATGTAGGACTGGGACCCACTCTTCTCCAGTATGAACTCACGGTAACCTAACTGATAACATCTTCAGAGGCCTTATTTCCAGAGCCACGGTCACAGCTTCAGGGGTTAGGACTTCAGCGTATATTTTTGGGGACACAGTTCAATCTGTAACAGTCATTATACTTGCTATTTTACTTTGCCTTGTGATTCCAGAATGGCTGGAATCAGTACATATTCTTTGACTGCACTAGGTATGTTCTATGAAAAATACCCTAAAGCTCAGTTTCGAACTCCACGAGGTTTTAGTTATGGATCTTAATCACTAATTACTGATTGAGAGAGCAAGTGTGCGTAGACAACAGACACACAAACAGCACCCATCTACCCCCACTACCCATTTTCAGTGTTAAAGTTAGCTAGGAGGCCTCAACTGTATTGGTAATTATGAAGAGTAAAATAGAACATTCAAGAAAAATAGAGGTGATCCAGTTCAGTTCCTACCATCACTTCCCCAGCCTTCACTTTTAGGAGTGATTAAGCGCAGAAACCAGTGTACCATTCAAGTTAAGTGGATTGCACTCCTTAGAGACTTAGTTAGTAGCAGAACCATACTGGAACCCAGTTCTCATGGCTCCTAAACCAGTTCTTTTTTCACTACACCAGCAATGGCCTTCCTTGAATGCTCATTAGCATTTGAGTAGTGCTATGTGGAGCCCTAGTGACACAGTGGTTAAAGTGCTTGGCTGCTAACCAAAAGGTCGGTAGTTCGAATCTACCAGCCGCTCCTTGGAGACCTTAACGGACAGTTCTGCTCTGTCCTGTAGGGTTGCTATAAGTTGGAATCGACTCGACGGCAACGGGTTTTATATGGATATTTATAATTGAATAATTGAAATACTAAGTTATATGGATAAATATGAAATCCTGTGATCCAAAAACATTTCTAGCTTTCTGGATGTCCTTCATGAGATTTGTGTATGTCCCACTTTAATGCAAATGAAGCACATTCTACATTTTATAGCCAATTTTTTTTCACATCTGTTCCACATCAAAGTATATGTAGATTTGCTTCCTTTTTTTTTTAATTTTATTGTCATGAAAAGATAACAAAACGTTTGCCAATTCAGTATTGTTTACATGTACAATTCGTGAGATTGATTACGTTCGTGTTGTGTAGCTACCACCACTGTCCGTTTCCAAAGTATTCCACCACCATTAACAGAAACTCACTGCCTCATCTGCTTTTTTTAATGGCTCCACAGTTTTTCATTACACAGCTGTACCACTATTTTACTGGTTCTTTAATGGTGGACGTTGAGCGTATCCCCAGACATTGATGTCAGAAAATTTGATTAAGGACTGGCTGTTAAATGCTATTAATAAATTATTGTTGATTGTTAGGTGTGATAATGGAACTGTGTTTATATAGGGAAGTATCCATCTTTAGGACTGTACTAAAACGCTTCAGGGTGAAATGTCTTATTTTAAAATGCTTTTTTTTTTTTTGCAGAAATCAGTATGACAGACATAAATCTAGGTGTTGGGTTTAAAAGATAGTTTATTCAACTATTGCCTACTTTTCTGTATGCTTGATATTTTCCATAATAAAATTGTAAATGTTACCATAAATTTTTACATATGTTTGCCTATGTTTATGTATGTCATAAAGTCAAGTCTTTGGTGTGGATTAATTTGATCGAAGGTTACGTGCCCTCATGATTTTGATTAACATTACTAAACTACTCTGTGGTTTCTGGTACTACAACTAAATTCTCTTCCCCTGCCTTGGCTTCCGGAAATCCTTGATTAGTGCCTGTTGAAACCTCTTCTTCAGCCCTTTGTCCTCTGCTGTAGCTCCTTCCTTCTGTAGAACTCCTCAACTCTCGGTGTTTCAGCCATTCCTTTGGAAGCCCCTCCTTCTCGGCCTGGAGTCCTGGCCTGTGTTTTAGCTCCACAGCTGCAGCTCTTCACTCAGAGAATCTTCTGCCAGCTCAGATTCATCTCTTGCCAACTCTTTTGTCATCATATCTTCCTTGCAAATGGGATGTGGGGTTCCATCTCCAAACCGGAGCATTTCTGCCCCACCTTGGCTCCTCCCTGTTCACCTCCACAAATTTTCCCTTCTAGCCGGACTAGTCATCTGGCTTCTTCCTCTGGTACTGCTTCCTGGCCTGTTCTCCACACTGCTTCTCCCCTGGAGCACGCTTTTGTCTTCTCTTTGCTTTTCCAGATACCTCCCAGCCTTTAAAGCCCAAATCAGCCTTTTGTATGAAGCCTTTCCAGCCTTATTGCCCTCATCTGAGCATTTACTTCATCAGATTAGCGCATAAGGCCCTGCTTTACCTCCTTGGGACATCTGTCATCTGGTTATTTACTTTTCTTTGTAGTTTTGGGTCATCTTGTATACTGGGTTAGAAGGCCTTGTTCTGTTCCCCTGACACACTTTTCTGACCACAGTAGGGGATCAGAAAAAGGGTGGCATCATGGTGTAAGCTTTATCCACCCCCAAGTGTCATTTGACTCGAGTAGGAGACACATAGTGTTTCTGGGACGCTGATGTGCACGTGAAGGAGTGACCAGGCCCCGGCTGGTCTCTCAGGAAAGCTGTCCTGGAAGAAAGGAGGCCAGACACAGGCCACAGAGGGCTGCTATCAGCCTGTATATCGACTTCCTAAGACCTTGCTTCTTTGTTGAAAGGTTTGTCCGATATGTGCCTCGATGCCCTGGGGAGACCCCAACTACCGCAGCGCCAACTTCATAGAGCACATCCAGCGCCGGCACCAGTTTTCTTACGACACTTTTGTGGTGAGTCTGGAGCCTGGGCTCTGCTCTCTCCCCTGGGGAACAGCACCGTTCCCTCGCTTCACTTAGGCCCCACTGTTGAACTTTGTCACCTGATATAACGGGCTCCTAGTCCCTGGAACGGCAGCTGTGTGGGCTCTACTTGTGAGCCAGGTGGGTGGCCAGAGCCTCGTGTGTTTTGGTATGTGAGATGAACTGGTTGGTCATCTAGACCAACCCTCCTCACCCCCTGCCCCCAAATATTGCCCACTTTTGGTAGGTATAGTTCTGCCTGTTACATAACCTAGTTCGGTTATATGTATATCTTAAGCTCAAATGCCCATGGGAACCGCAAGTAATGGAAGTGGTCCTCGTGAGGACTGACAAGCTGGAGAGTAGGTGGCTCACTGAGGGAGCGAGGGAGCGGTGAGGGGAGCTGCCGCCACCTCCAGTGCATGGTTGTCGGGTGGAAATCCAGGCAGTCTTGCCAGTCTCCTTCCCCACGCGCCCCTTCTCCAAGAGGCTGGAAATGCAGGATTTCGTATGAAGTGTCGCAGACTTTGTTTTTTTAATACTTCAGGTCAAACAAAACACATCCACAGGCCAAACTGGTCGTCAGGTTTCCACCCTCCCCTGGAGCTGGGTGGTGTGGAGCGGTGTGCTGTTGTCCTGGCGCTCCAGTGGTAGATCAGTTTGTCCGGCTGCCTGAAGGGAACCTTTTCTTTATTTCAGGACCTGAGAAGGAAAGTCCAGATCTTTCCTAAGTTGTCATAAAGAGTATTTATTCTGAGTCTAACAGTGCCTGAAATTCAGGCTTCAGAGTAACTGTGCTTTCTGTTAATGCTGTAAAGATGAATAGAATTCCTAAAAATGCCCAAGTAGATAATTTTGTCTCATTAAAGTGTCACTGCAGTTTCTCTTGTACATTATGATCGTAAAAACCCTGTTTGGTGCTGGGCACTGAAGCCACCTGTATAGAAATGACACTCAGCCAGCTGCATTTATGCAGATGTTTGGCTTCCCCTGCTGATGAACTGCATTAAAACGTGGCGAGCACTTGGTCTGTGCCAGCCTCTTTTCTAAGTGTCTTACTTGTGCTGTGTGGTCCTCACAGTCTCCATATGAGGGAGGCATCTGTGTGCTCATCGTAAGGATAAAGCAGCAGAGGCACAGAGAGGTTAAGTCATTTGCCCAGAGTTACACAGCTAGCATAGCAAACAGTGGGGCTGGAATCTGGTCCTGGGCAGCACCCTTCAAAGCCCATCCCTAGACGGCCCCGCCTCTGCTACTGAAGGCAAGTCTTTGCTGCTGCGAACAGTTACAGCACCTGAGTGTCTGTTTTGCCACAGGATTATGATGTTGATGAAGAGGACATGATGAATCAGGTGTTGCAGCGCTCCATCATGGACCAGTGAGCAGTCTCTGCTATGCGTCTCCCATTCCAGAGCTTCCACGTGAAACTTTGGACTCATACACCTTCAATGTACAACAGACCTGGAAGTGAGCTGTGGCATTAAGGACAGGGCCCTTTTGACAGGGGAAGTAAGGGCCCTAGGTCAGAGCCCCTCTTTCCTCTGGGCTCTTACCAAAGCTGTCTTTCCCTCCTGTTAACCTTGTTTGTCGCACAGTCTAGTCTTAATGGTCCTTATAACCCTCAGCTGCCTCCTGGAGCTGCTGCCCCCTCTTCTGGAAGAGAAACCAGCCTCTCCCCCGCCACCTGCTTTTGTTTCACACTTGTCCCTCCAGTCCAGCGTTCATCTCTCAGGTCCTCCGAGCCAGCCAGGACCTTTTCTGGGTCATGAATAGCACAAATGAGACAAGCGTCTCCTTGTCCCTGAGGTGGTGAGCTCTGGCAGCCATGCGTCTGGGCAGTGATGAAGCTTCCGGTGTGCCGTGCCACTTCCCGTTAGTTGTCATTGGCAACAGCTGCCAGAGGCTTGGCAGTGCTGTTGGGTCTGATACTGGAAAGTTTGATTAGAGATATTTTCCTCCTCCTCCTGCACACCTTTAGTGTTAACTGGTTCAGTCTTAAATGCCTGCATGGTGCCTTTTTAGGATAAGGCATAACCATATATTTTTAGTAAAAGTAAGTGTTTCTAGGTTAAGAAAGTTAAAACCCATATATCCATAAATGGGGAGGAGGGTCAGCTAAGAGAGGTGGGAGGGTCATAGCTTTTTGGTTCTGATTTTCAAACTAATGAGCTATTCTCATATGACCGAGTCAGGTTTACCTCTTTATTTGGGGGTTTGCTTACAGTCTTGTCCTTGAAACATGAAAAGGAGTCCAGAATAAGAGGGAAGAGACAGGGCTTCAGCAGATACTGGTTCTTTTATCTTCTGTTTGGTGATTTACATTAAACTGAGCATTGTTTTTCTATCACAGATGGTTTCCTTGTGAACCTGGTTTCAGTGTGTAAATCGGTGTGTGAAAACTTTCCCTCCAAATTCAGAGAGAGGTTATAGGCAATCTAATATCACACCCTCTTGCCTCTTGCGACAAGACAGACTGTTCATAACGGAGGCACATCTCATGATGAGCAGTTGTTGATAAAAGCTGTCTACAAGAAACTTGCTTTGGTAACAAGCCTGAAGTTCAGGATAGTTCATGAATATTAATAAATATAAGGCTGAAATACTTGTCAGCCTCCTTCTGTAGGGGCGGAATCTTCTGGGCAACCAAAAGGCATATGAAATTAGGTCCTTTTTTTTTCATGTCACACATCTCTAGTCTGAATGTGGAGATGTTTCTTGCCAGCAGCCAAGCTTGCAAGTAACAGAAGTGCTTTGGCCTTTAGTCTGCTGCTGCAGGCCTCCCTACCGGCCAGTGAAGAGCTGCAGGTGCCCGGCAACCAGCGAAGACTGGCCGTCTGAGGCAGTAACTTTGTAATACGCTGTTGCTTGGGAGGGCCTCAGCATTAAGGTCAGCTTCTTCACTGTAGTTTCTGGAGAATGTTCACTCAGGCCTCCAAAAGTTGAGATCCTCTCTGTAAAGTCTGGAGGGGAATTGGACAGAACCTTTGTTTGAGGGACCTGATCAGAGCACATCCATCTTGGTGGTGGTTCAGAGAAACTTATTTTCTTGTATTAAGTGCACTTCATGTATTTCTAATACGATGACTTTCCAGAAAGTGATATTTGTTATGTTCTGGCTTTTAAAAGGCAAAATAAAAATAAATTTCATAATTTATCCAACTGGTAAGCAGTAATGACTATTTTCATTAAACACCATTTGCTGACGTCTAGGCCCAGGGAACTTCTGGAAGATTGCTGCTCTTTCTAAAGGGAAGGTTCTTGTCTGTCACAGAACAAGGCCAATCTGGCTTCTCACCACACTCTACCAGCTGGGCCTCACTGAGCCGCTGTCCTCTCTGGAAAATGAACACAATCCTGACTTCCCACAGTGGGAAGCTCCAGTGAGGCAAGAGGTGAAAATGCTCCATGACGCAAGGCTGTGGACGTGCAGCTCTAGCTACGTTCTGAGGACGTCGTAGTCAGGGTTCCACAAATTCAGATTTTAGGTCCCGGATAGTGTTAACTGCATTCTGCCACTAGCTGTCTGACACTTTCTGACGCTGTCTCCCTACTATGAAATGGGGACAATAGTTCCTTCCTCATAAGAATGTTAGGATTCCAGGAGTAGCATACACAAAACCTAGCATGGTGCCTGCACCTTGTGGGTCCTTTCTCCATGGGGAACTCAGCTGCTGTGCTTATTCCTGGGCTTCTTCACGTGCGCATCCGGATCCCATAGGAACCTTATGGCCAAACTGAGCTCAGCTTCTCCAGCCTCCTCCACCTGGGCCCCTCCGTCTTCTGTATCATTCCCTTCTGCAGTGGATGGTACCAGAAACCCGGGACTCGTCTTACTCCCCACATCCATGAGGCTACCTTGGCCTAAATGTCACTGGAGCGTGGGGCTCTGGTTACAAGTCAGAAAGTCACAGTCTGTGCCTCTGTTTCCTCAATGTGTAACACACTGGGGCTGTTCTTGAAACACCTTGTCATACCAAAATAGATCAGGAAAATGACATTTAAAAACTAAGACCTGAATGAAATGGGGAGACAAGCCAAGTGAATGTATGGTAAGAACATTCTAGCAGAGGGAACCAAGTTCAAAGGCACTAAGGTGGGAGCACATGTGTTACCTTTGAGACACTGCAGCAAGGAGATGGCCAGGCTGGAGAGAACTAGAGGGGACTGTGGAAGGCTGGTCATACAGGGTCAGCCAGGTCACTGTAAGGACTTGGATGAAATGGGAGCATTGGAGGGTTCTGAGTGATGTGAATCCTGGCAGTGTGTGGAGAAAGTTGCAGGGAGAGAGACCAGGGAGGTGGCTGCTCGGTAATCCAGGCAAAGGTGATGGTGGCTTGGAACCAGGTGGTAGTAATGGGAGTGTTGAAGTGGTCCAGTTTGGTCAGGTACTTCTCGGAGAGGTGTGAGACAGGAGTCGAGAATGTCTGCTAGGTTTGGGGCCTGAACAACTGAGTGAATGGAGATGTCTTTCTGAGGTGGAAGAAAGACTCCAAGAGGAACAGCTGAGAGGAGAATCAATGGTGTGTTTTGAATGGGTACTGCTGGCTTGGGATAAGACCTCAAGCATGGTACACAGATACAGAAAGTGCCAGCTCTCGAGCAGCTTAAAGAGATTGAAAAAGATGTGCCCTAGAACATGACGTGTGCTATTCTGTGTCAGACGCAAGTGGATAAAACTGTTACCTGAAGTGTATGAGTGCACAGAAGCAACATTTCTACTTTTGTTTTCAAAATATAGGTGGATATTTGAGTATTTCATCTGCAATGATAAAAGCTGTCGCATTCAATTTGGCTGAAAAACTTTAATTCCTTTTTGGAAAAACGGGCGATTTCCTTATAATCAGGCATATGTGGTGTTTACTAAGCATGTATTATGTGCTAGCACTGTGCTAGGCGCTAGGGATTCAAACATTAAACAAACAGATAATTACAAACTGATAACGTGTCCGTGGTAAGAGACCAGTAAATAGTAGCTATTTAATAAATAATAAATTACCTCCTACTTCATAAAGGAGCCCTGATGGCGCAGTGGTTAAGCGCTCGGCTGCCAACTAAAAGGTTGGCTGGTCAAACTCACCCAGAGGCTCCCTGGGAGGAAAGACCTGGCAATCCATTCCCATAAGATTGCAGCCTAGGAAACCCTGTGGGGCAGTTCTGCTCTGTCATAGAGGGTCACTATGAGTCAGAATCAGTTTGACGGCGCACAGTACAACTTCAAGAAGCCAGAAGTCCAAAGGCTTCCAGTAACATCTAGACCGTTCCTCCTTTCCCCACCTGTGCTTTATCCATCTCTACTGTGATAGCTCTTCCAAACAGCATTTGACCTGCTTAATTTCTCCCACCCACTAACCAGTGGCCCATATTTCTCCTCCACATTCACAGCCAAACATCTTGAGCTGATTGTCCTCACTCATTGCATCCATTTCTCTTATTTCCTGGGTTTACTCCTCTGTCTTAGTTATCTAGTGCTGCTACAATAGAAATGCCACAAGTGGATGGCTTTAACAAAGAGAAATTTATTTCCTTACAGTAAAGTAGGCTGAAAGTCCAAATTCAGGTTGTTAGCTCCAGGGGAAGGCTTTCTGTCTCTCGGCCTTCTCATCAGTGTTCCCCTGGACTAGGAGCTTCTCGGCGCAGGGACCCCGGTCCAAAGGATGCGCTCTGCTCCCAGCACTGCTTTCTTGATGGTATGAGGTCCCCCTGTCTCACTGCTCACTTCTGTCTTTTATATCTCGAGAGATTGCCTCAGGATACAATCCAGTCTTGTAGATCAGGTCCTGCCTTACTAACACAACTGCCACCCATCCTCCCTCATTAACATCATAGAGGCAGGTTTGCAACATACAAGAAAATCACACAGTACCAGGAATCATGGCCTAGCCAAATTGATACAATTTTTTGGGGACATAATTCAAACCATGACATCCTCAAACTACTACAACCTATGTTTTTCAAACCACCCCCACCCCCAGCACTAAAACTGATGTTGTCACCAAAGACATGTCACTAAACTAGATACAATAGTCCTTATCCAGCTCAGTCTTCAACATATTTATTGCTCTTGACCCCTCCCTCCTTTTAGACACAGTTGCTTTTGTTGGCTTTCCTGTTGTAACACACCCTGGTTTCTCTTCCTACTTCCCTACCATATGCCTTTTCTGTTTCCTTGTCAGCCTCTTCTGCCTGGTTCCCTTCCCTTAGCTGTTGGAATCCCTCAGGGCTCAGCCCTAGGCTCTTTTTACTCAACCTAAGTCTTCTCCCTGGGCAGACTCACCCACTCACCAGCCACTCTTCTTGGTTTTCACTACCATCCATGTGTTGATGGGTAGATGGACAACTCCAGCCCAGAGAGCTTTCCAGAGTGTCAGGCCCACATAGCCAACTTCCTCACAGACATTTCTGCCAATGACTTGGAGGCACCTCAAGTTCTACATGGCTCCAAATGTACTCATCCTCCACCTGCTTACCACCTCACACCTCACGTTAGGGTTCTCTTCTCTGCACATGGTACCACCATCCTTCCAGTTGCTCAAGAATTCACCTGAGCACTATCTTTAACTCCATATTACCAACTTGTACTGATTTTAGATGAGTTTGTGTTTTCTCACATCCTGTTGCCACCAGCATCTTAAAAACCACCTGAACTATTGGGCAACTTTCCACCTGGCCTCCTGCCAGCACTCTCTAGCATACCTCCAATCTGTCCTCCACAAAGCAGCCAGAAGGATCTCCCAGAAATCCAAGTCTGATCATACCTTCGGTGGCTCCAGATGGCAGTGGGTTTACTAGACTGTAAGTTCCCTGAGGTCAGGGTTCTCATCTGTCTTATTTACCTCTGTAACCCCATTGCTCAGTATTAAGGTTGCCAGATAAAATATAAGACTCCCTCTATGCAGTTAATGTGAGTTTCAGTTAAATGTTCGTGTATAGTTAAGTGTGAGGTGCAGATAAGCCTTGAATAATTTTTCAGTACAAGAACGTTCCAGACATTGCATGGGATATATTTTGGTAAAAATTATTGGTTGTTTATCTGAAATTAAAATTTAACTGGACATTGTATATTTTTATTTGCGAAGTCTGACAACCCTACTAGGTGTGTATTAGCTGAATAAATGTTCTGAGCATCTATATGTGTCAGGCAACTCACAACTTCTCATCAAATCATTATTTGTGCAATTGTTTTAACAGCTGTCTATCCCACTAGAAGTTAAACTCTTGAGGGCAAGGATTGTGTCTGTCTTATGAATCACTGTATCCCCATACTTGGCCCCAAATAGACTCGATTAATATTTCTGGAATTGAGAATAGAACTAAGCGGCAGCCCATGTCCAAGGGTTACTTCATTTCCATGGCGACTGGTCAGTCCCAGAATTAGAGTCTGGTGCGGTGATAAGGAGAGACTAAAGAGGGCACTGCTCTCCCCACCAAGCTCTAGCTGGTCCCGCTGTCCATCACCGTGGGGGGTGAGCCCTCAAACAAGCACAGGAAGCTGGAACTTGGAAGGCAGAGGGGGTGAGACTCAGGTGGGCAGGCCAAGGTGGCTGCAGCCAGGTGGGGACCTGCCCAGCCCTCGATGCAGTCCCTGGATACTGTCGCCTTTATTCCTCTCTTGTTGTCACAGTGTCTTCCGCATCGGGGCTCAGCTGGGCACCCTGAGTATAGGAAGAGCTATGACAATGATAATCCATTTTCATCCCTAGTTCCCAACATGGGGCCTGACCTCAAAAAATTTTGATTAAGTCCTCCTCCTTTAGCCCTGAAAGATGATTAAAACCAGGCACTTGAGCTTACTCCAGGAAGGTCAATGTCACTGAATCCTCTTAACCAGCTCCACAGGAGGGCTACTAATAGCAGGCCCACTACACAGAAGAGGGAGTGGGGGCCAGAGAGGGAGAGTAATGTGCTCAGGCCAGGAAGTGAAGGGGCTTGCTTCCTAATTACAGTTAGAGATGTGATTAGGATCTCAGACTGCCTGGAGTCTCTGATTCCCAGCATCCACACTCATCATGTGACCTTGGAAGAGCCAGTCTAATCTCTTTGTGCCTCAGTTTCTTCATCTGTAATATGGGGTTAATAAAAGTGTCTTCCTCATAGAATTGTGGGAATCTAATGAAATCATTCACATAAAGCATTAGAACAGGGCCTGGCATGAAATAAGT